GACAGAGGGAGAGGAGAAATTCAAGGCTCGAGCCCTGGATGGTCAGTAGCTGGACACCTGACAGGAGGGCCCAAGGCCAGAGTTTCAGGTGAAAGTGAATGAGCAGTAGTGAGGTGTGACCCCGAACAGTGAAATATAGTGAAGATTCCAAAAGGAGAAGTGAAGACACTAAGGGCAAATAAAGACAGAAACCATGGACTGGAAGCCTATGCTTTACTTTTTTATTGCCCCAACACCTAAGGAATATGACCCTGCCCATCAGTAACAGTGGCTCCCCATGGCTGAGGACTTTTCTGAATCTTCAGAGGGGCAAGTGAATTGGCCAAAGTTCCTTCTCTAGGTGGCTCCAACACGCCTCCCTAGGGCAGTGTGTCTTTTCCTCTTTTGCAAATCACTATAGTACACTAGAATGAAGAAACTCGAAGTGCAAGAAGAAATACTCCAAAGTTGGTAGAGATCTTTGGTAAGCTCAGGGTGGCAGGACCATTGTATTTTTCTCTCCTCCCCCACCTATAGCCTAGCACTAACCTACCACACTTCCAAAAAAGCTCAGAAGGTAACAGTTAAGAAATCAGAAGAGCATTTTTTATAATAAAAGTCAAAGCTAAAAGGGGAGCCAAGGACTCTTAAGATGAGTCAGAATGACCCAAGAGGCTCTCCCTCTCCAGGTTATGGAAGACCTGAGTGCCTTGTGAAGTCTGACCTAAAGGCCAAGTGTGAGGGAGGCTTCCTTTAGCCCCCTCTTCAACCCATATGGATCTAAAGCATTCACCAGCCCCATGCAAGAAACTAGAAAAATGAGATTGTCAATCCCAGGCGAAAGCAGAGAAGAGACTGAAATCTATGGCGGGTGGGTTGGTGAGCAGGGTAGGGGGCTGCAGGTGAAGGAAGAACAATTCAAAGTTGTATTTGTTCATAGCTCTATCTCCAATGTCTACACTAGAGACTGGTTCATATAAGAGGCAATGAATGAATGAGCCGATGGAGAATCAGTAAATCCCAGATTGAATGGGTTGCTCAAGGAACTGAAGAGACATGTTTGAAAGAGGGCCCAGACAACAGAGGCCCCGCACCCACAGGGAAGCAGGTGCATAAACTTAATTGAACTGGGCAGAGAGCCCCTCCCAAGTCATAATCCAAGCAGACTCTGAGTGAACCCTGAAAGTTCACTCTCCATCTTTCTGCATTCCACATATCAGAACAACTCCAGGGGTTTAAATTTTGTTTAACATGCAAAATTAAGACATTCTACATAAAGATACTGTTGATAAACTGAAGATAATTTCCACTTGAGTCAAGAGCTATATGTGTGTGCATTCTTGAACCAGACTGCCTGAGTTTAAAGCCTGGCTCATTCATTACCAGCACGATCCTGATAATTTACTCAACCTTTTTTACCCCATTTCCTCAACCCATCCCCTCATTAGATATAATTATAATTTGTCCTAAGGACTCAATATATTAATTGTATAACACCTGCAATAGTGCCTGGCATATGATATGCTTCAAAACAATTAACTACCATAACATGTGAGGCACGTATGTGTCATAAGAATACAAGTTAAGATGCTGTCAGGGGTTATATTGCCCCTGCCCTCACACCAAATCTGTATGTTAAAGTCGTAATCCCCAAACCCTCATAATGTAGCTGAATTTACAAACAGGGTCTTTAAAGGAAAATTAAAGTTAAATGAGTTCATTAAAGCAGGCCCCAATTCAAGATGACTAGTATCTTTATAAGAGATAAGGATATACACACACCCGAGACCACGTGAAGACACACAGAGAAGGAAGCTATCTATAAGCCAAGTCAGGTCCTCAGAAGAAACCAACCCTGCTGATACCTTGATCTTGAATTTCTAGCCTCCAGAACTGAGAAAATAAATTCCTGTTGTTTAAGCTACTCAGTCTGTGGTACTTTGTTATGGCAGCCCCAATAAACTGATACAGATTTCCTTATGAAACAAATGTGGCCCACTTCACAAATTATCAAATTCAAATGCCCAGAATATAAACAGTGCTTTAAAATTCATTCATTCAACACTGGAGCACCTACTATGCCCTGAACATTGCCTATTTATTAAAACCCTTCATCATATAAACCAATTTTATTTTGTCAATAACCGCCCACCTCTAATATTGCCCATTTTCTGCTGGGCAACTTAGTGTGACACTCGATGGTCTGCCACTGCTTCTCCTGATTAATGGGAAACGATCCTTCGTATGGATCTGAAGTGAACAGCATCAGAGGATGTAGTTCTCAACTCTGGCTAAATGCTAGAATCACCTGGGAAGTTTTAAAAATATCTATACCCAGGACTTCCCCTTACCTCATTCTGATGTAGTTGGTCTTTGTGTGGAGCTCTGATAGTGTTTCTGTAAGCTTCCCAGACAATTCCAGTGTGCAACAAAGGTTGAACATCATTACGCAAGTTTAAAAGGGCCTTCAAGGTCACCCCGCTTTCCACTCAAAGTGCAGTTCACAAACCACCAGCACTGTCATCATCTGGAAGCTCATTAGAAATGCAGAATCTCAGGTTCCTTCCCAGACTACTAAATTAGAATGCACATTTTAACAGGATTCCCCACACAATTCAGATGCACTATAAAATTTGAGAAGCACTGTATTCCCACTAGAATCTAGATTATTCTAATGGGACTTCAGTGCTTCTGAATCAACTAGAAAGCATGTTAAAAACCAAGCTACCTGACTTCCTCTCAGAATCATATAATCTCAATATTTGGGAAAAAGGCCTAGAAATTAAAATTTATGTATTTTTTGTGTATCTAGTCACGCAAGGGTCTGAGGCTTGGGAATCACTTATCTAGGCCAATGCATATATCCTCTCAACTGCCCAGACTCTGTTTAACAATCTTCCAATTCTTTTTTTGAAAATCACAAATATAACAGAGATACAGGTTTTTATTTTTCCATCATGCATGCAAACTTACAACTATTTATGCTGTTTAGGAACACAGAAATAACTGCATTATTAACAGGGTGTCAAATTACTGAGTACAACAACCAGTTACTGATTATTCTGGGGAGGTTATTTTCACAGAACACAGCAACAATTTCCAAATTATTCTTCGAAAACCAGACTTATGAGACCATTACAAGCTGATAACAATTCTAACGGCAAGTCTTCATGTTACACAGAAAAAAAAGACTGACATTCTCGTGAAGGGTCTCAAGTACCTTATCATATCAGAATTTTTGAAAAAGTTTTACAGGCTCTCTCTTGTTTTGTGGATACAAGGGAAAGGAAGAATCCCTCTCATTTCTTTTTGAGGCTCCTTGTTAATTATTAAAACACATGTCTAAGGTCCATCTCCAGAATTTTTCGTTAACAATAAAAGCAAAAAGCAGACCTGATGTGATTATGATAGTGCACCCCATCACTATCACCACCAAAAGACTACCAATCTCCCCAAGTAGTCACAGTTGCACTGGCATAGTGGCTTGGATTTTCAATAAACAACACAGGTTGAAAGAGGAAGATACAAATGAAACCAGGTTGACCGTAATTGGTAAGTGATGCAGCTAGGTGATGGGCACATGGGGTCCAATTCCTCTCCACTTCTGTGCATGTCTGAAAATGTCCATAATAAAGAGCAAAATAATAATAATAACAAAAAGCAGACTTGCACAGCTCTATTTTTTCATTAGACTAAAATGGGGAAACTGGTAAGACTTTAAAGGCAAAATGTGCAGCATATAGCATTACTCTTCTACATGTACAAAGCCACACCTAGAACAAAAAAAGAAAGCATCCAAAGTATAACTATTCTGCTTCTGGTTTGTCTCTGTGGCTTATAAAATCTACTAATGATGAGATTGGACAGAACTTTGGGAACACTCTCAACTAGGCTTCCTATTTGTCCATATTCACAACCCCTTCAATTCTCCTTTTCTAAGCTAGGGAGATCACTGAGAGACAGGCATGCTCCCCTGCTGCATCTCAAGCCATTTCTGTCTGATTTTCCAGGCCTGCTCTGTACCAGGCTCATGCCTACCAGACAGTTTTGCTCCGAATCCCCCATCTAGCACACCCCTGCTACAACTTTAAGTCAAGGACTGGCTTGAGGAACTTAGAATGAGGCCTCCCTAACAAAAGGGAAGGTAGGAAGAACAGGTGTAGATACAGTCCTTCTGCCCCACCCTCAGGGATAAAAGAGGGAAGGGCCCAGCTCTGCTTTTACATCCACTGGAAATAACCTGGACATCAAAAACAGATTCTGCCCATCCCCATCCCCCAGGAGAAGCTTACGATGCTCCATATTGAAGACAAAAGCCTACTCCTGGAGCTACTTGAGGTAGAAGCAAAGAGAGCAAAGGACTGCTGAAAGCGGGAAAGCTGGACGCTGAGGTCCAGATGGCCAGAGGCTATCACAGAGGAGGAAACAGCAGGAGGCACTTGGGTCTTAGGGAGAATTAAAACAAAGTGGAAACGAGTAAACACTAGTTTATGACATGGCCGCCTTGGGGTTTGTAACTCGAGCAGATGCTAGGCATGAAAAGGATTTTCAACTTCAGAACTGCAGAGTGAGCCCAGGAGACAGGTTCATGGTCTGCCAGCAGATCCACTTGGACTTCTGGTTTCCTCAACTCTCTTTCAGCCTAATATGTGTGCACAGTGCCAAGTTCTCAGCTATCTCCCTAGCTGTATGTAGAAAAGCATGGTTTTTCAGTTTTTTTCTATTTTATTTAAACAAAATAAAAAGGAATAAGGAAGGAAGGAAGGGTGAAGGCAGAAGGGGAGGAAAGGAGGCTACCAGGAAAGGGAGAGAAGAGAGGAAAGAAATGAGAAATGGAGGAAGGCAGGCAAGCCAAATAAGAAGTATGAGTGAACTGAAGTCAAGCAAGCAGAAGCCCACAGATCAGAAATAACCTCTCCAGAACCCCTACTATGGCACTCTGCTCCTGTCTTAGAAGGAAATAAGGGAAACTGACAAAGATATCTGGCTGGATTCCATATAGGCCCAGTCCTCACCCTCACCTGGAGCCACAGCATGACAGTGAACACAGGTCCACACATATCAGCCTGCCCAACAGTCTGGCAGCCAGTAGAGTTCCTGGAAGGATGGGGAGGGTAGGTGTGTGTCTCATGCACTGGCAGGGAGCCTTGGTCCACAGGCAGTTCTTGAGGTTCTTGTTGACCAGGAAACCAACTGAGGCTGATAGCAACCCAGACAAAACTTAATGACTTGATAGTGACAGGGCATGGCACAGATCTTGATGAAAGTTCACCAGCAGAAGGCCCCAGAAACAGGAAGAGACACATGATGGTATAGAACACATGGCATACTGTTTCTTGCCCTTAACCTCATGCATGCCCAGCAGTCAAATGCCATTCTGCAGAACATCAAGCAGGATGGGTATCAAGGACCACAGGCCAAAGCCAGAGATAAAGTAGGTGACATCTTAGCTGGTGACCCCAGACCCACAGAACAGTAAGTTCTGGCTGATGACCAATACCATGTGCACTGACTTCATTCTGCAGTGGCAATGGAAACACCTGCATAGATGACATGCATAGCCAGCATGAACACAAAGCCCCGCAAGTCACTGGCCCGAAGGAGCAGAGCTTGAGGATGCACTGGTCGTCTTGGAGGATGACTCATGAGTGTCCGTGTTAAAGACAAGTAGGGAAGGCCAGAGCCAAGAACAAGGTCCAGGCAATGTAGATAAAAGGCAGCACAGATCTAAAGCATGTGTGCTTATCATTTAAACAGTCCAGGTGCGATCACATAACATGTGACACTAACATGGAAAAGCAATGGGCTATGAGGAGGCAAAAGAACATGATCATAAATGCCATATTCTTGTAACTAAAGTCCAAAGGGCCTAGAGTACACAGAGGCCAACATGAAGAGAAGGCAGAGAGCCAAACACGTAGTCAACCAGGAACAGTCCGGCAGGAGGCAGCAGGGAGACTTGTGCAGGATCAGTTGGACTGGCTCACCCCGGGCTGAGGAGTGGCCACCGGCTGCTTTCCCGGACCTTGTCTGCCTTCTTTTTCCTTTCCTTTCTCTACACGAGGGCCTTCACTCAAAAGGTAGAACTGCAGGGGATTGGGCCACAGTTCCTCATTGATTATCTCCACAATCTTGTCAGACTCAATGGAGCTGTGGTTTGAAAACCACCCAAAGAAGCTACGGTTGTTTTCTGGGTTTCCCTGGCTTACGGACTGGAGATCATGCCCTGGGAGCCACTGGATTGGAGTAGAACGAGAGACTACCTGACCAGAAGGACCACACCCATATTCCTTGATGAGCACCTTGTTTTGGAAATATGGGTTGCGATCGAAGTAGAACTTGATTTTGTAGCCCAATCTGGCAAGGCCAAGCTCCTCCACTTCCAGGCTGCTTAGGTAGCTCAGTACCTCTTTTTCTTGGCTGTTCAGAAAGGATGCTAGCTGGGGGTGGTTCTGAAATGCTTTCCCCCAGAAGCCTGGGATATTTTGGATGAGGTGGTTCCTGCGCTCCAAGTGCTGCAGTCGCAACTGCCCAAACTTCCTCGAGAGCCGAAGGTAGGCCCTGTCCGCCTGCGCGTTCATGTTCTCCAGCTTCAGCTGCACGTTCTCCAGCGTATCCATGCTGCCTTCCGTCGCTGGGGGCCCCGACCCTGCATCTCTCTCTTCCTTCTTTTCCTCACCGGCCGGGACGGAGGTATTCTCCCCTGCCGCCCCTTTCTTCTGCTTCCTACCAGCTACCACCTGAGGCCCCCTCCCCGCGGTGCTACACGTTTCTGGAGGCTTCTTCCCGGCAGGGCCACGCCGGTTTCCACCGCGGGGGGCATTTTTCGGCCTTCCCACGGGTCCCGCTGTTCCCACGAAGACAGTGTCTGAGACCAGGCGCTCTGAGAAAGATACGGCCTTCCCGGGGCCGGGACAGGCCGCGGCCTGCCCGCGGTCCCCCGCAGCTCGGGCCCGCAGCGCGAGGCCACAGTCCAGGGGGAGCCGGCAGGCGGCCTCCTCCCCAGGCCGGAGGAGCTGCGCGGACGCAGCGGTTTCCAGGCCACCCCACCCCGCGCCAGCCTGCACCTGTACCGCTCGGATGTCCTCCCCGAGGCTCTGGTACTGTGAAGGGTCCGGGTCGCGCGGGGCGTCGTCAGGAGTAGGGCGGACTCGGGCTCTGGCGCGGCCTTTGCCCCGGCTTTTGGCGCGGGAGGATTTTCGACCCCGACTTCGGCCGCTCATGGTGGCGGCGGATGCGGCTTCAAAACCACGCTGTGATCCTGCGGCTCCTGACGCGAGCTCGCTGTAGGGAAAGAGCGGGTCTCTACACGGCAAGCGCAGACGTCACGACCGTACGACTGCACCGTCGCGCGAGGACGGGATGCGCTCCGTGATTGGCGCCGCCACCGCGGCTGCGCACGAGACGACCCCCGCGGGCACTCCCACCCCCAACTCTCGCGCGGACTCGCTTTCGCTCTTAGCACGTATTTCTGACATGCGCCCAGGGGATGCGTCCGGGGGGAGGGGAGGGGTGCTGCACTTTCATCTCTTCCCTGCGGTCTCATCGTGCCTTCAGGGTCTTGGTGAACAAGGCAGCCCTAAGAGCCATCACCACCTGTCCCCCATAACCTGCTTTCTAAACTAAACATCTTCAGCTTCTCCAGTTATCTCTTGTGACAGCTGTCATGAAGAAAGTGCTCGGGCCTGTGTGTCTCTCTTTGAACCCCTTTCCTGAGAGATTTGCTCTGGTAACTCCAGAGAACGTAACGGTGGATGCTATAATGCCGGGCTTCAAAGCCATTTGGTACGTAGTGGATGGTAGTAGAAATTATAAAAACAATGGCAACTAGTATTTTGTATCATTTGTGCCAGGCACTTTACTAGGTGGTTTAAATGCATTGTCTCAGTTGACGAAGGAGGTATTTGTATCATTTCCATTTTCCAGATAAGAAAAATGCAGCTCAGGACACCCGAGCACATTCCCTAGGTTACACAGAAAGGGATGGAAGCACAATTCAAACTGAAGCCCATGCATGGGACTCCATATCCTATGCCTTATATTTGGAAATGGCAAGCCCTTCCAGACTTGTTCCACTGTAAATTACCCGGCTGGCTCTTTAGAAGTCGGCCTTGCTCCTTAACAAACAGGCTTCTGTCTGCCATCTGACCACCTCTTCTGCCTGGGAACATCACCCGAGTCCCCCAGCTGCCTCAGTTTACAGAGCTGGACTATCACTCAAGGAATAGGAGTAGAAGTGAAGACCTGTATTAGAGCTCTTGAAATTGGAGTAAGACAAGAATGTGGTCAGAGGTGAAATTATTATTCAGGGAGCAGCTTGAAGTTCAGAAGCAGAGCCTCCACATGGCAATGCAGAAGCCCTAGAAACTTCTTACACTGTGCATGGAAACACCCGGACAACCTGCCTCATCGTCCCAGAGGCAGCCTTGGACCATGCTCTTTCTAGCGAGGTAATAGAACCATGAATACTGAGGGACCCGTGGCTAATGTAAAAATATAAAGAAAAACCTTTTGAGGTGGTCTTTTCAGGTTCAAAGGGAACAAAAAGGCCCTTGTAGCCAGCTAGTGAAGAGAAGCCCAAAAGCCCCTGGGAGTTCGTTACTCAAAGTGTGCCTGTGGACCAACAGCCTGATATCACCTGAAAGCTTGATAAAGATGCAGAATCTCAGAACTTTCCCCAAACCTACTAAATTAGAATTTGAATTTTAACAAGATCTTGGGTGATTTTTATACACCCTTAAGTTTAAGGAGACAATTTAAAAAGGAATTATTTTTATACAGATGGACCTATTTTAGGCCAGCCTAATACAAGTGATGTCTGATTTTCTCAAAAGCTCTAGAATAGCCTGCAAGAGGCCCAGTATGATCAGGCAAGTCCCCTTCCTGCCACTGTATGAGTTACTGCTCTGACCTCATCTTCTTCTCCCTCTTCTCTCCCATCTGCAGCTACACTGGCTTTCCTGCTGTTCTTCAACTCACTAGGTAAACTCATGGCTCATGGCCTTTGCACTCACTGGCTCTTCCTTTTGCCTTAAATGCTTTTCCCCGATGTGGTCGGTGGCCTTGGCCAGCTGCCTTCACATTTGGCTTGAATGTCACCCAAAGACCATCCTATTTAAAATGGCCACCCACCCCATCCCTTTTACCCTATTCTACCTTTTGTTTATTCCAACACACTATACCAATTATTTATTATGCTTATTAACTATCTCTTCTCTAGAATGTCAGCTCCATGAGGGAAGAGATTTTTGTTTTGTTCATTATGTAACCTCAGTGCCTGCAACAAGTGTCTGACATACCAAGAGTGCTTAATAAATACTTGTTGAAAGAAAGAACCAGTCAAAGCAGAGTTTTCACAAATGGGTTTGTAAATGATTGTCTGAAGTTCAGAATAGCTCCCCTTTTCCCACAGAAGCCATACTATGGATGCTGTATTCTCAGATCAACTCATGGAACCCCACTAAACTCATAATTTAGCCAAAAAATTATCTTTGATTATAGAGCACCATTTAGGGACAGTCTATAAGTAAAAATCCAGAGTGACAAATTTAAAAATTAAGTTGAGAGAATTAATATTTGACTTAAAATGGATTAATTAGTACAAGGATTATCTTAAATTCTTGTTGAAGTCCCTTTCATAATCACTTCTTCGCAAGGCCTTCTGTGATCGCCCTAGAGCGTAATAAGCAGCCTTGTCCTTGATCTCACAGAGCACTTGTTAACTATAGTATTCATTTGGCAGTGGGACACACACTGTTTTGTACCAGTTCTTTTACAGAATTACCTCTTAAGCTGGATAATCACAGCCTGAAACTCCCTGTAAATCTCAGAAAAAAATTTTTAAAAAAATCAGCTGACGCATTTGCCAACCCTCTATAGACTTCAGATATTGATGGGTTGGCCCACTTCTTAGAACACTCACAAATCAACCCATCTCTGTTGTCAGGAGTCTTAATCCAGCGTCAGCATTTGTGTCATGTAGCAGTCACCAATGGCTAAACCACTGCAGGATTAACATAGGGCTGGACCATTGCGATTCAGCCTTTTTTCATCATGTCAAAGAGATAAGCATCAGATGAAGGGTGAGACTGACACCTTTTATAAAAATACCTTTCTGCTCTAAGTCACCCAGTTCCCCATGGCTTTTGTATTTAAGAGTTTGGTCTGTGCTGCTGAACTGGACTGTGTTTTCTTCTTGGGTAATAATATTTGACTTTATGTGGAACTGTAGCTTGTGTTCCTAATTGGATAGTAAACTATATAAATGTGGAAACTGTGTCTCTTTTTGCTTTAATCTCTCAGAGCATCTAGCATGGGGCCTTGCACATACCAGTAATTATAATGAAAGTTTACATTTATTTTATATTTTATATAGTGCTATATCTTAACTCATTTAATCTCCTCAATCACCCCATGGGGCAGGTGCAATTATTCTTGTCTTGGAGAGGAGTTTACTGCCACACAAAATGGTTCAGTAACTTGCCCAAGGTCACACAGCTAATAAATGGTTTTTGCGCAAGCGATCTGACTCTAGCAGCATGCTCTTAATTAATACTCCATGATGTAAAATTCTGGCTTGAGAGATTAAAACTCTCTCTAGTGGGTAAAAATACCTTTTAATCTTCAAAAATTATTTATATTAAAAATATATATACACATATGCAGATACATACATATACACATAATACATACATCAATTTGTTACAAGTTATTTATGGGGTGTACAATATACCTGGCATAGCAGTACTCAACATGAATTTAGTTTCAACAACCCATGATGAGAACGAAGCATCTCTACTTGCACTGCATTTATCATAAGCATCCTGTGAATACTATGAAAGAAATGCAAGTTTACTATCATGAACTCAGAGATCCGGGGGTATTGTGACCTCCTGCCAATGTCGGCAGGCTTAAGTTCATGGTAATATAAGCATTTAATTGATTATTTCTAATGTAGTATTTCTTTGTCAGCAATTTATTTATTATTAGCAATTCATAAAAAACATTTTTTAAATGTTTATGTGTATGATGTGTATATGTATGTATATGTATATGTATGTGTTTGTCTATAATTCAAATATTAGAATAAAAAGTCTTCACTTTTGTTTGAATATTGTGCTTTCTCCATTCTTTTTGATATCTGTTTTCTTTGAATCATAGAAATTAACAAGCTGGTAAAAAGACATTAGTCATCCAACCTGTTCCCCAGCCAAGGGAACCACATTCTCCATCATTTCTCTTGTAGAGCTTTAGGATCCCAGACTTGACATTTTTAGCCACAGGACGTTTCTGTTGTTCCCCAGGGAGATAATTTAAGTCTATTAGATGGCAGTGAGTATTGCTTACTGTGTGGAATTTTGCCAGTCAACCCTCCCAGGTTACTAAAGGGCATGGAAAAGAAGGCAGTGTCCTAAGAAATATTTTCATAGTCAAGGGGGAGAGAGAGAAAAACCTGCCTGTTACGATAAATTTCAAGACTATTTGAAGTTAACATCTTGAGAAATTTGCCTGGCTCTTCCCAGTTCCTCCCCAAAGAGCAAAATTTTATGGTAGACCACCTAAGTTATTTCAGTTCATATCCTATAGGTAGCTATAAACTATTTTAAAATATTGCCAGATGTATTCTTTCTTCTTGGCATTTCCTTTTTATCCTGCAACATCTTAACTGTTAAAGATCTTAGGCTAAGGCTTTTGTTCTAGAAAAGGGGAAAAAACAAAGAACTCAGCAAGCAGAATTTCAGCAAGTCAAATTCTTCACTTTGAATTTCAAAATTGGCACTTGAGAGGGAAAGACACAATAGCATGGAAAGAGAAATATATATATTTGAAGAGCTAAATGTGTGCACACGTGCACACACACACTGCCTCTACTCTCAGTGTGTGTGTGTGTGTGTGTGTATTTAGCTCTCCAAAGATAAATCCTGAAGCAATAACAGCATAGAGTTTATAATATTATCCATAGATGAGGAAAAACATGATGATGTACAAGCCATTTCTCCGCTACACAAAGAGGAGATAAGAACCTTTTCTGGTCTGGAGGCAAGGAACTTGGAAAAGATTCAGAGAGTGAATAGTTGATGTAGGGTCTTGAGAAATGCTTCTCACAGTGACCACATAGTGACTTCTCCAGGGGTCAAAACCCTTGGAGCATTGGTAAAGACCACCTTCTCTGGATAAGACAAAGGTATGAGAATAGGGAGAATCTGTTCCCAATTTGACAATTGGAACTCAGACAAGAAAGGGCTTTTCTCAGAGGGCTCCACACCATCAAAGGGCAGCCAAGCCAGTATAAAAGTATGTATAGGGTAACAAAGAAAGTTCTGAAATGGCCTGTCTCACCCTCTATGCACCCCACTCGCAATCTCTTGCAGCCCTAGAACGAAGTGGAAGAGCAGCCGTATGTTCCTCAAGCTTTCTAAGAGAGGCC